TATTTTGAAATAAAGTTTATGTTTAAAATGTCTTTGTATCCAGACTTTGTATCATTTTTCCCTGCTGAAGTTCAGTTAGCAGGATCTTCTTAACCTTTTACTACTTCCTATTCTCTGTCTTATGTTGCTGTTTGTCTCTTTCTTACTTCTTAAAATACAGTGCTTGAGAAAATGAATTCTTTACACTGTTGTCAATACCTGAGTCACTGTAGGCATCAATAGTTAAGTTACATTATATCTGACAACTTTCCGGTATGTCATTTACCATCCATACCGTAACTATGTTGCCATGTAAAGAGGAAGCAGGGATTTCAATTCTTTCAACTATGAAATATGGTAGTAGATCAAAGTGAACTCAGTTATCCTGTGAGAGCTTATTGTGTTTCAGGATTGACTCATATGAATTGGTGTTTGCAAAATAAATGTTGAAAATATTTTCGTTACCAAGAAAGTTAATGTAGAAATTCACTTTGTCCATTTAAAATTCTGTCTCACGAGAAACACTTGGAAACATAGATCAGGTTTTAGTTGTGGGTGTTTACACTACACACCTATGTTTACGCATTCACTACATGCATGCAGTGTCCACAACGGGCAGAAGAGGGCGCCAGGAGCCATGAACTGGAGTTACAGATGGCCAGCGATTGAATGAGGATTCTTTAAAGAGCAGCCAGTGCTGTTAATCTCTGAGCCATCTCTCGGGACTCTCAAAATTTAAGCTTGTGTTAATTTTTGCCTTTATAGATTTTGAAATTGGTAAAGATTCATTTTTACATAAATGTAAATTCATGAAAACATTAACTTGGATTGCTAATAAATTACACATTACTATAATATCAAAAATACCATCATCTTTGGAAACGACATATAAAAATTACAGTAGTCAACACATATTAAGAATTGCTCACCTTTTTCAATAGTACTTTTATGAAATAAATTTTTAAAACAGAGGACTGGACAGTTGGGTCAGCATTTATTGGTGCTGGTTGCTCTTGCAAAAGAAGTCACTTTGGTTTCCAGTTTATACCTGTCTATATTCCAGCTCACGACTTCAACTCCAGGTGATTCAGTGTTCTCTTCTGGCCTCTCTGGACACCTGAACATATGCGCGTGTACAAACACACACTCTCACATATCTACACATAAATAAAAATAAAATTATACTCAAAATTTTTATCCTTGCCTTTTAAAGTAATACGAGAGGCAGATCTATTTAAATACATAAAGGTATAAGCGGAAATTCATAAATGGTTTTGGCTTATTTGTAGATTCACAAAAGCCCGTCACTCTTCAATCATGCATCATTATCAAACTATGAACGAGGTGAAATCATTTGCACATTTTCAATGGGTTAAGAAATGTGGGTCCATGAGATGGTTCAGTATGTAAGGAAACGTGACCACAAACTTCAAATCATGACCTGAGTTAAATCCCCAGGACCCCTATGCTGTCAACTGTCAATTGTCCACTGTCATTTATTCCTAGGCCTTTGTCCACGCATGTGTGTGCATGCACGTGTGCACGCGCAAGTGCGTGCTCACAAACACACACACACACACACAGAGAGAGAGAGAGAGAGAGAGAGAGAGAGAGAGAGAGAGAGAGAGAATATATAAACAAATCTTAGCAAAGTGCATAATATGAAGAGGAATGTCTTTTAACCCAAGACTTTATTTTTAGTACCCTAGAATATTTTCCATTAGACAATTATACTTAGTACTTTGTAAATTACAGTTACTAATCTTACCCTATGTGCTCCGATTGGAATTCTTTTAGTTGAGTTTTAGAAGAAGAGAAGCCCTAAGGGTGGCTCCTAAAAGGAAATTCTGCTCCTGTCCATTCTTGATTGTGCTTTTTAGAAGAATAGGTTTGAAAAACCTGAATTTGCACAGAACAAGGAGCAAGACATTAGTGTTAAGGGAAAAAAAGAATCTTTTTACGTACAGTTCTGCACATTGACATGTGCTCGTGCTGAGCTGCGGTTTGTCCAGCATAAGCACAGCACTGAAGCTATAGTTTCTGGGACAGATGTCAGCCTTTCACCTCCTCAGGAAAACAATTTATAATAAGACTGCAATGTTAACTACAGGAGGTGAATTATTTAATGTACTGTAACAAACTTTAGTTAACTATCTACAATTATAATTAAAGTTGTCTATGATAAACAAGCTAAATTGTTATTAAAACTAAATAATACTGTTAGTGTCAGAATTATTTGATTCTAATATATCACCAGGATGAAAGATAATACCTCTGAAGACCTTAATTTTTTTAAAATCTTTTTGTAACTAAATGACAGTTTGCCTACTAATCCTTATATTAGCTTGAATTGCTACAAACCGTGAGAATGACTTAAAATGTAAATTTAGTGCATAGGTCTCAATTGGTTCTGTTAAGCGTTTTGTTTCACATTTAAATTTTGCTGTTAGAGATAGAATTGGTAAAAGAGTAGAGCCCTTTAAATGATAAGAAATAATTGTTCTGTTCTAAGTAAGATATTGGAAATTTTGATATGTGACTAATTGGGATATTATTCCAGGGACAGAGTTTGCTTATGATTATTTCTGTTGTTCTTCCTATTAATAACAGATATTGGTGGACTTATTTTTAGGATTGAAGTTTTAGAGATTCAGTTTTTCATATCTACAATCCATATAGAATGTTATTTTATTTCACAGTGTGCATTTTAATGAGATATAAAAGCATGTCGAAAAGTTAAATAGCACTTACATTCACACCAAGGGTGTGATTATAAAGTAGCCTTTCAATGGCATGCAATAACTTGTACAAACAACTATTTCATAATATTAGATTAATCATAGTGACATCAAAAAGAGGACACCCTAAAGGAATCTGATACAGCCTTCTGATCGCTCAGGTAAATGTTCAGACTTACTTGAACGTGGCTTCTGTTTGAAATCTGAGCTCAAGCAATGAAGATGGCATAACAGTTTTATTTGCTGGAAAGCTGAGTGGATCTACTGGTGATCTTGGGTTTAATACTAATTTGGAGACTGCGTCCTGGTGATATGTAAACGTTGCTTTGTTAACCTTTCCTGTGAATAAGTGCAGTATGCTGAGAATTTTTGGAAACTAGTCCCTGAAAACTGTACATTCAGATCACTTCTTACTGGTATGTTAGTAGGGTATAGCTTTGAGTATTGCAAAGTGAATATTAAAATGCAGATGCCATAAGGTAATGTAATCCTACTTAGAGGAAGGGGATGGCATGGCAAGGTTCTCTCACTATGACTATTTCTAGGTGTTTTGGACCCTTAACTTCTGAGAAGGAATATTAAGAACTGCACAGTACTAAATGCAAAGTTAATAACAAAGTTTTGCTCTAGCAAGTGTCATAATGGTTCTTTAAACGTTAATATGATTGACTAGGATGTTAAACTAACATTTAATTATCTATGAAATTGAGGTTACAGTGTATTGTTTTAAGATTTACTTATACATTACAGCTACAGATTTTTTTTTAGCTCCCTTAAAGCAAAAAAAGAAAATGAAAATAATGGTACCAAGGGATATTTATGACAGGTGCAGTACAGAAGATAGATATATTTACATATGACTTTCTGTACTGTTTATGGCATTCTATACATAAAAATCTTAGTTTTCATAGCTTTGTTGCAGTTCCTAAGAGCTGTCTTATTGAAGCTTGCTTCATAATGCTACCTTTGGCTCTGTGTGCTGTCTGGTAACTAACAAACCTTTCAAGCTGCTTGTGAAATGTCTTCTAGCTAAAGGCAATCACCATGTATTGTCTCTTAGGATAACATTCAGAGCAAATGTGTGTTGCGCTTAATTTTCAGAACTTTGCTGTAATAGAATGAGTCTCTCTAGTTTACTAACTTCACTAAGGTAGAGGTTAGAATGGGGCTGGCTGGCGCAATTAAAATTATGACTCAAGTACAGAAGCTGAAGTTTCAGACATATTCTCACACATGCACACATGCATGCACTCACACACACCTTAGCATGTGTTTTACAGGCCGAAAGGTACAAAGGTCATGTATACATTTTGATACACACACACACACACACACACACACACACACACACACACACACACATATACACACTTCTACTTTATAAGTCCAGTTAAAACTTGTTTGAGAGGTTAAACACTCTGTAGGTCTCACTCAGCACAGTTAGGAGCTTTTGAATGATTTACACACAATGATAGCCTTGGCTCTTTCCCCTCTATATGTGAAAACACAGTAATCAGAGGCAGTGTTTTCAAGCTAGATAGTGATGGATTCTGGCTCTAGTCAGTTTGGATACGATCTTGCCCTCTATCACACCTGCTTCTTATCACATGAAGCCTAAGTGGAATACGTGTCTGTACATGTTATATTGTAAAAGAGCTAAGAAATAGAGAGTATCATTTTCAAATTTTATGAGTTCATGCAAGCCAATTTTTCTTTTTTTCTACATGAATGCATTGTTATAGGCAACAAATAGTGGTCAAAAACTGTTGGTCAGAATTTATGACATAGGAAGGATACCACCAAAGAACAGATGATTATTAATAAAATAGTTTCAAGAGACTTCTTTTTAGCTGAAGTAAAGTGGGTGTGCATGCATGCAAGCATGTGCATATGTGTGTGGCGTGTTTGGTATGCAGATTTATTCATAGCTAACCACCAGCAGCCAGTTGAATACACAGAAAACACCATTTCACAGTTAAAGTTGATTCTGCATATTAACCTATGAAGAGAGTTGAGAATATTTCACATCAGATGAAGAAATAGTGTGCTTAATTTTCGTTGCTAACATTTGTGTTCCCCATTCTGTGTAATTTTATCATTTTCACCAGTAGATTAACAATTATCAGTGCCGTCTTTGCTGCATTCTGCTTAATCTATTAATTGTGGTTTATTTCAAATTTTGTTTACTTTGAATCATGTCACAAGCTTTGAAATCGTAAACCAGCCATTTCCTTAAAAGGTGCTTCCTGTGTTTTAATGAGCTTCCGTTGTGTGTTTTTGCAGCCAGCTTAGTAGTGGAGGAGCGAACAAGACAGATGAAAATGAAAGTTCACCGGTTTAAGCAGACAGCGGGGTCTGGGTCTAGTCAAGAACTTGATCGCGAGCAATACTCCAAGGTAAAATTAAAAGTGTCCTGCCAATAGCATCCCCCTGAGAAACAGGCTATGTACACTGGGCATATATGTGTATGTGTGAGCCATGGAAAGGAGATTGTCGTGAAACATTAGTCTTGCATCACGGTTGTTCATACAGCTTGACAAATCTCTTCCACACCTTTATGTTTTCAGAGAGTAGATTACATTGCTGAAATATTATTTATTATATTTAATAATCTTTCCAATGAGAAAAATAGTGGTATTAAAGATGAGGGTTGTCCATAGTTACATTAGCAAAGTAAGCAGGGTATAAAGGGCCATTTGTTAATGAAATAGTATTTATTTAGTAGTAAATGTATTTATGTGGTTTTGACTGGTGAATTAGTGACAAAACCCATACAATGTGACAATCTTGCTTATTTACTTATCTGTCTTTAGTAAAAAGTATGTTGTTTTAATCTCTCAGAAAATGACATTAAGCTAATGTTAATAAGCATTTAATTTATATCTCATTATTTTGTAAGAATATACTAGATATCCATAAGTGTAGTAGCTAGTGTTTAATTAAAATATACAACCTTATACTATATGAAACACACTTACATCATTATCTGGTTTATTTTAAAATTTCTCTCAAAATAACATTAGGTTCTACTTCATAACAAATTGATATCGGGGAGCCTTTTTCGGAATAATGACATTTCAGAACCTGAAAAAAGTACAAACTACATCAAATCAATACATTAAGCTTAAAATAAAACCTTAAGGTTACTATTTTTTTAAAAAAAAATCAAGTTTGCTTCATATATAATCAGGGAGTCAGTGGTTAATGCAAACAGTAGAAGTCAAAACAGAATATGGTTTGTCACCTATATTGTGCCAGCTGGGCAGTTGGGTACAGTGTATCATGTTACACATTAGATGCAGAAACCAGCAGTAGAGAAAGCCCACTGGTTCAGGGATGCCACAAAGAGGTTGAGACACCTTTTAAAAAGGTAAAATCAGAAAAGAGTAAATTCTCTCTCTCTCTCTGTCTCTCTCTCTCTCTCTTCTCTGTCTCTCTGTCTCTCTCTCTCTCTCTCTCTCTCACACACACATACACCAGACACACCTGTCTTCTTCTGGTTTGTGGTGGTGTTGTCAGCTGAGCAGTGTGCTGCTCTTTCTTTGTGAATAGCATCATGACTTTAATGTGCTCACACTGCAAATTCACTAAGAATGAGCCAACAGGATAAGTTTTAGGGTAGAATTTTCTTCACAGTTAGCTTCTGTTAGTTGAAATTAGGGGAAATGCTCCAGTTATTTCAGAAATCCTTTCTTGATTTCCTAACCTTCTTCTAATAGTTGAAATCAAATAGAATAAATGGGGGGGGCGAGTAGGCTGCAGGAAAGAGATAAGTATAGAATTGGAATAAAATACTAAAGGTCACTGGGGTCATTGTGAGCCAGGCGTCTAATTATTAATCAGCCCATGAGAAAAACCTGTACAATGAGCTGTTCCACACATCTAAAGCGTGAGTGTTTTTGTAAACCAGGTAACCTACTCTGCTGAAAGATCTCAAATTTTCTGCTTAAAGCAAATTAGGTCTTGGAAGGACCTGTCTTCTGTTTTAGTGTCAGTGAAATTGCTCATTGAGTAAACGTGCCTGTCACTACTTCTAGGGATCTAAACTCAGTCCCCAAGCATATTGGTGTAGGGAGAAAACCATCTGCAAGCTGTCTTCTGACATTCACATACTTGCATGCCTGCACACACACACACACACACGCACACACTCACACTCAATATAAAGCAATGTGGAAAATGTCCTATTTCAGTCTAAACACTTACATTGTGAACCCCAATACTCAAAGAAACAGAATTCATTTACCAAAGTTAGTAGACTCTGTATAGAGTGACTCAAGGCATAGGTACCACTAGATTCTTTTGTCACATCACTAAGGACACACTGCAGTCTAGCCTGCCCCCAAGCCTTGTATCCTCAATGGCTTTCATTTGCATTTATATATTAATGTTTTCCTCTTTATTTGTAAAGACACCCCTTGTCCATATTTCGTTGAATTTGAATATCTTAAAAACGAAATTATTTTGGGTTGGAGAACTGGTTCTCTGGTAAGACCTGACGCTCATACTGTTCTTCCAGGGAACCCAACTTTGGTTGCCAGCACCCTTCTCAGAAAGCTTCCAACCGCCTGTAACTCCAGCTCCGAGAGGCATGTGGAGCCCTGCTGGCCTCCAAGGGTACATGCACACATAGACACATACAAACACATAACTAAAAATAATTTTCAGAAAAAGAACAGCTTTCATTTTTAATATTTTAAGTTAACTTCAAAATGTAAAGTTTTGTTGTGACCCAATCATACACATATATCAATGAACTAGGCTCACATTCCCATGTCTCCCCATACCTGTCTTCTTCCTTCTCCCCAAGGGGCCCCTATGTGTTTTCATTTACTTACATGTGAGGTATATGAATCTATATAAATATAAGTATGCCAGGCGGTGGTGGCGCACACCTTTAATCCTAGCATTCAGGAGGCAGAAACTGGCCAGTCTCTGTGAGTTCGAGGCCAGCCTGGTTTATAAGAGCTAGTTCCAGGATAGGTCCCAAAGCTACAAAGAAATCCTGTCTTGTAAAACCTAAATAAATAAATAAATAAAAATGCAAAATACACATCTAATTTTCCATCTGCATGTGACAGAAAATATGAAAAACATGACTTGCATATACTGTAATTTTCTTCCTAATAATGGAATTATACAGTTCAGTTTTAGTTGTATAACCAATAAACGTGAGCTCAGAGGCGTGGCATTAAAATGTTTTAACAATATTATAAATGAAATTGTGTGAAGCAAAATAACAATTGCCTCCGGGGTTTTTAATGTATCAAATAAAAAAATTATATTCACCACAACTAAAATATTTATATTCTGGGCCAATGTTTCTAACGAAGTTGCCATTGAATTTATTTTACATAAAAGAAAAATCATCACATCAGTGATTAGTGGATAGTAGCTGCTTCAATTAGTTCAGAACCCTTTTATATAATTTTCAGGGTAGGGTTATCGTTTTATCAAAAACATATTAATTTTCAAAGGACTTCTATTGCTATAAAATAGTGTCAGTATGTAATGTATATTAAATTCTGAACTTTCCCCTTTACAGTATTTATGCACTTAACATATTTGATAAAGTAATTAAAATTCAATACTAACAAATTTGAAATAGTTGAAATTTCAACTGTGTGAGAAATTAGGTGACCGTTCTTAGAATCCTTTCACTTACCAGCAAGGCTAGATTATGTTTCTCATGCTAAATCATCACCAGGTGAATATAATCCCCCACCTTTGTCAGCTGGTCTTTCTCTAAACTATCAAATGGTCCTACTCTCCATCCTGAGTGAGGAATTCACACTGGCTTGACTGCTTTCGAACCTTTGAAATGCATCACTATGCCTTCTTATTTGATGCTATTTGGAGTTAAATGCTTCTCTGATGGAAAGAAGTCATACTAAATGATAAAGCCACACATAGGCCCTCACTTTTTAAAGGATTCTTTTTCTATAATTCTGGAGCATCCATCAAGATCGCTGCAAGGGTTGGTGGAGATACCTGCGGTGTTTATTATGACTGACCTCTGAAAACTATGAGCCTATAATTAGGAGCTTCCTCCTGGGGAAGGAAGCGTGGCCAAATCCATTCCCCCTGAGGATACTTTATTCTTCGATGTATAATAAATGTAGTTTGATGAAAATATTAAAATATTAAAGAGGAAATTTAACAAATAATTCTTGATGAAAAAAGGCGAGCATATTTCAAAGGTTAACATGTTTTTGAAAATCAGAAAAAAAAATAGTAGTAAAAAGTAAATATAAAGCCCTTCATTTCCTTCAGTATTGTGGGAGAAATTGTAATCTTAAAATAACTGTGGTATTATTATATATCCCAGTAGAATAGAACATATGATGACATTTTCATTCTCTGTTTAAGAGCGAAGGTCTCTATAGATGTAGGCTGGAATAGAGACAACTTGTAGAAAGGATGGAGATTTCATTAATCGGAGCAACATTTCCCTTTATGCTTACAAGTCTTCCTGCTACTGTCCACATGCTTCATACTGCCAGCTGTTCTTTCTGGCTGACACAACAGTGGAAGAGCATGCAGTATACCTAGATAAAGTCTCAGGGCATTGGACCTCACTTATTTCTTGTCCTAATATTTGCAGATATAATGAATGAATATATGATGCATCTTTGGTCACAGTAGTTTAATCTAGGAATTATGTTTAATACTCTGCTATTGTTCAAATCAGGTTCTAGTCATTATTATACGTTTCCATACAAATCTGTAGGTTAGAAATTGTTCTGAGTAAAATGAATTGTATTGAACAGAATTGTCTATCAGATATGACAAGAGTTTGCTGGTGAACTGAAGAGTTTGCTGGTGAACTGAAGTACCATAGGGTATGGAATACATGAATCATACGCATTTGAGAATAAATAGTGATTTGGCTTTAGACTTAACAGCATATGTGAATATCCCTTGTGTCTTAGTGGGATCTATGCCTTTCAGAGGTAAACATCATTGTGATAGAACTTTAGAAAATTTATTTTGTAGATAGACCATAAAATGTATATTCTTTTCATGACACAAAATTCATAGACAAATTCATACACATTAAGAGGCTAAGAATTTAAATGAAATTGCTTCAAGAAAAAAGTTCTCTGACGTAAGGGATCATGAAATGAATGTGAGCACCATCTGTGGAATTACTTGAATTACTCCTTAAAATTTATTTTCTTACATTTTTGTATATATATATAGACTTGGGTTTTAGAATTCGCTTATATGGTGTATTTGAGAAAGATAGTTCAAATTAATCAAGATTCATGCTACAGAGCATTAGAGGATAGGAGACTGGCCTAAAAATCAATAAGCACTTCCCCATTTATTGTTCACCGTCTAACATTCACTTGCTTAGTGAGAAATAATAGGGATATTCATATTCTATTTATGTAAACAAATGAAGTTCTTTTCTTCTGATAGCAAAGAAAACAGTTACTTGAATATTGATTGGAAAAACGTGTCTCTTTCTGTAGTTATAATACATACACCATATGCTCCGTTCCAGTAGGACAATAAAAATTGATTATCTCCTTTGTGATTTTACAGGGTGTCTTAATTTATCTGATGAATTCTAAATATTGGGAATAAAGCCCCAAAAGCAAAGATATGCAGATAAGAAGATGATGAAATGTCAGTTGATAAAATGAGTGACGCAGTTTCAGGTTTTCAGCACATACAAATGATTCTTAGACATTTTCCATGCAAGCACTTTAATTGCGTGTTCACTCTTCATAAGCCATATCCCGTCATTGAAAAGATGTCCAATTTTTATTTAATTTCTTATGTAATATTAATGCTGGCCTGGCCATCAGCTTCCGTTCTTACCTTGATAGAGGTATCCTTTGGCTTCCTTTGCTTAGGCAGTCATTCTCCTCCAGGTCACTTGTTTTTGTCCCGCGATCCAATTGGTGGCGCTCATCCTCTCTTGTTTTTAATCTTTAGTATAACATACATAAAGATCAGTACAGAAGCTGTGATAACGTCTCCGCCAAGTCATCAGATAGTGATGTCAGTGACGTGTCCGCCATTTCCCGAACCAGCAGTGCCTCACGCCTCAGCAGCACAAGCTTTATGTCCGAGCAATCTGAGCGCCCCAGGGGTAGGATCAGGTGAGTTGGTGATATTCTTTATCGTAATCCATCTCCATGATATGACATGCATCTAGCTTCCAGAATATTTTTTTTGGAGGGTACTGTTTAGGCAATGTAATGGACACATCTCATTATAGCGGCTAGGTGGGGTCAGCATGTACAACCCATTCTATATGTCACTAGCAGAGTACTTGATACTGTTCCCAGTAAACTGAATCTAATTACTACAGTCAAAACTTTGGAAGTTGCTCACAATCGCAATTGAAGGGGGTCCTCATAATATAATAGGATCAGAAGTGCACCTCTTATTCCAGCACTTGAAAGTTTTGTCTTAAAGAGATCATATAAAAAGTATTTTATGGTTTATAGAGAGTATCTGTCATAACTATTCAACCATATCATCAGTGTGAAAGTCTAGCCTTTAAGCGACTATGGATGAGTGTGTACATGTGAAATTATGTATGTATGCACGCATCTCTAGCCACTTTTATAGAAAAGTTTCAAACTCTTTATTTCCCAAAGGACTATAGATTTGTTTTTTTCCCTTAACTCCTACTTCAGTCATAATAATATGAGAACAAAAGGTGCATCCCTGATTCTCATTGTCTGAGCTGTAAAACATGTGCACCACTTGTTACATCACGAAGTGTTCTTTTGTTCTTATGTGACTAGTACCCTGAAGAAAGCCACATAGAAAGAACTTCAGACATGAGGTGCTGTCCAGCCTGAACCGTGTCAGTACGCCTTGTTTTTGAAAACAGAAGTTTATAGAAGCAATCTGGGGAGTAGAAGGGCTTTCTAACTAATTATGAATGCTAAAAATAGGAACAAATACCTTTCTATAACTCTAAATTTCACAGTTTGCTGCACATTAAATTGTAGCCTGAAGTGTCCCCTTGGATTTCCATTCCCATTACTTCTGTGCTAAGGGAAGAACCATGATCTTGTTAACAGTTTAATGGTATCATGATTTAGATGAGCAATTTCCAGGACTTTATCAAGACAGGGGAGAAAGAAAAAGAGACTGCAGGTAGCCTAACGATGGACTGTGATTTTCTTTTTCTTTTTTTCCTTTTAAATGTTTTATTCATTTTACACACCAAGCACTTTTCCTCCTCCCTCATCTTCTCCTGCTCCCCCCCACCTCCCTTAACCCACCCCCATCCACTCCTCTGAAAGTGTGAGGCCTCCCATTGGGAGTCAACAAAGCTTGACACTTTAAATTGAGGCAGGACCAAGCCCCTCCCCCACCCCTGCATCAAGGCTGAGCGAGGTATCTCACCATAGAGAATGATTTCCTGCTAAGAGTGTTAGGTGGAAGGGGTGATAGTGCAGTAGAGGGGGAAATTCCAACCATAAAGGAATACCCGAGCGTTTGACTAAGCTAGGAGGAAAAGCACAAAGATCTGTTTATGCTGACTCCCGAGCTTTCCGATTTGAAACTTGTAGGAGGAGGGCTTCTTCTGAAGAGCTCCAGAAGACTTCCTTCCTAGCATCCTATCTTCTCTAAGCTTCCTGTTTCTACCCTTTCCCTGCTCGGTATCACCCTTAGTTACTGGGATTTTAAATAAACTCATGTGATAGCTAAGAAAGTTTCCTCTGTAGCTAGGATGAGACCTACTTTTCTACTAATACCATGTTTTGTGTCACAATCTCCTGACTCTCCAAAGCTAGAAAATCTTTTATATATTATTCTATATTATTTTCCATATGTACCTACATAAATGCAAAATACACATGGAACTGGAGAAGTGACTCAGAGGTTAAGAGTCCTGGCTGCCCTTCCAGAGGGCCAGGATACATTTCCCAGCCTCCATATGGTGGTTCACAGCGGTTGGTAATTCCAGTTCCTTGGAATCTCTTGTCCTCTTGTGACCTCTGTACGTAGTGCACAGTCATTTGTTTGGGCGAAACACCCATACCATAAAATAAAGTGAAATAAAAATCATCACATGCACAGAGGCCCTCACACACCACATCACAGGACACACATTGCCCTTTTGCTGCCAACACCAGCCCTCTCTGAAAAGCTTGAGATGGGTGAGTTTGCAATGCAAAGCAGTTACTACCCTGGGTAGAGAAGTAGAAGAGGCATGGGGTGTCTCCCATTGGGAATACTCTCTCTGCTCTTACTGCAGATTCTATGAATGGTTACTGTTGATTCTTTTTTTTTCTTTTCAGTAGTTAACATCTTAAATGGATTTTTAAATACTTTATATTCCAAGTCACTATTGGAAGGACAAAATCGACCACTCTCAGTGATAGAATTTATTTAATATCAACATTTTGAGTTCCTATTGTATATAAAGATTTTATTCCTCTAAAGAGTATATTATAGTGTAAGACTTAGGCCAAGAACTGAAGGGGATTTTAAATTGTTATGCCTAATGTTTGAGCACTTACTTTACATTCCAAAGACCTGTGTACACCCCCTGCCATTATAACACAGTGTAAAATATTTTCTTATGTGCTGCCTCCCATGGTCTTCAGTGGGAGAGTTAGCAAAAGAATTCAGAGGACATTACAGGAGTTCTTAAAAATCAATTTATTGCCCTAAAAGACACCCTAAAATCTAATGTGTCAGGAAGGTCTATAAATAGAAGTTATCTAACACGGCCTTGATTTCTTTATATAACACAATCAGATATTGTCACTTAAAATACCAAATTTTTCCCAAACCTGACTACTGCATTTCCAGTGCTGCACACACACATAGTTATAAAGGCATGTTTAAGCATGTAGGAAGAACTCCATCCATAGTTCATTTGGGGATTCATCCGGATATGATCAGGCAGTTGCACATGAGCTGAAAGAGAGCGTGCCTTCCTCCAGACATGTCCACTTCTGGTGTGCTCAGTCTGAAGTCCTCTTGTTACTTTTCTCTCCTGATACAGTAAATATTTTATTCACAACAATGCAAAGCATAGTTTATGTTTTCAATTTCACTTTCCGGGAAAGTGCAGAAAGGAAAGAAACCAGACTGCATTTATTTGTTTTAGGGTAAATATCTTGAAGATATAATTACCTAAAAGTTGTAGAAATGGGTTACACACTGTTCACAAAGGTGAAGATGTTTTAACAAGATAGAATCAACACTTAATACCCCAAATAATAGGCATCAACGAGGACTTGACTTTTAGTATATCTGATGTATTCTGTGTATACGTATATTTGGAAACTTCTTTGGGCCTAACATGTTCTCAAAGATGTTTCTGTGTCTGAGTACAATATATAGTTGGTATAGATATGAGTCTTAATATGTAAATTAAGGCTTGGGAAATGGCTAAGTCAGTAAAGTGCATGCCGTTTGAACAAGAGGACCTGAGTTGGGGTACCCTGAAGCCACCAAAAATGTGGGTGCAGCAGTGTATGCATTATTTCAGAGCCAGGAAAGCAGAGACAAGAAGATTCCTGGGGTTTATTGACCATCAAGTGCAGTCAAAACAAGAAGCTTTAGATTCAGTGATTAATCTTATTCAGAAAAGAAAGGAGAAGAAATAGAGAATTGGCTCAGCCTTTAAGGGTTCTTTATATCTTGCAGAGGATATGAGCCGGTTCTCACTTCCCAATCATTTGTAACTGTAGGTCCTGGGTATTAGTCACCTTCACAAGCACCTGTTCTCATATGTATGCACCTACACACAGACACTTACCCAGAGAAATAATTAAAAATAAGAAAACCGGCTGGGTGTTCATGGCGCGCGCCTTTAGTCCTTACACTCGGGAGACTGAGGCAGTCAGTTCTCTGTGAGTTCAAGGTCAGCCTGGTCTACAAAACAAGTTTCAGGACAGGTAGCATTGTTACACAGAGAAAAACTGTTTTGAAAAACATATGTATGTGTGTATGTGTGTCTATACTAAAAATGATTCCTTTTTAAAAAGCAGAGAGTAATTGAGAAAGATGGCTGACATTAGCTTTTATCATCTACACAATCATACAATCTATACTTATCTTGAACTCATAAACACACAACATAATACATTTACTAGAAGCCAAACATTTATATACTTTCTGAATTCTCAGTCTTCATCTTTAAAAGTAGGTCAGTTTTCATGGCTAATTTGAACATGTTTTCACCTTTATATGCATACCTTTCATTCATGCCAGAGAAATTTCAGTTGTTTCTATAACAACAAATTTTAAGAGCAAATATGAGCATAATATTAAGTCACTCTCAGATCTTACATAATTCTATATTGTTAGGAATATTTCTTAATATTAGCTCCCTGCCGACACAAAAATTCCCAATCAAGCCAAATCAAAACAAGCCAAATTAAAAAATATCCAGGTTTAATGGAGATCTGCGCTCTCGGGTGGAACTGAGGGGGAACCTGGAAGCCGCAGGACATGATTCCCTGGGAGGAAGAAAGGGAGACCACGTGTTCCTCTTTTGGGAGATCACTTAAGTACCCTGGGGAGTGGTCCTGACCCCATCCCCAGGGAGGATGGGGAGGACATGGCCTGCTGGGATTTGGAGTCCAGACCAGGCCTGGGGGCTGGGATAGACGCAAGGGACTGGGGCCTACGCTCCCCACTTGACATATATTTTACTTTTTTCTTTGACAATTTCATGCAATGTCTTTTGATCATAATCAACCCCACCCGCAACTCCACCCTGATTCACCTGTATTCCCTACCCAACTCTGTGTCCTCTTCCCTCTTTATAACTCAAGTCCAATTTATGTTGCCCATATACTATTAGATGTGTTGCTTTCCAATGGAGTATGATTGACTTACCAGAGGCCATACTCTTTTTTTTTTTTTTCATTTTTTTTCATTGATTTTGCCTACCAACCTCAGTTCCCCTCCCTTCTTTTTCTGGTTCCCTCCCCCTGTCTCCCATATACCCTTTCCCCATCCATTCCTCCTCCCTTGACTCCACTCAGAAAGGGGCAAGCCTCCCATGGACTTGAACAGAGCATTGCACATCCAAGCTCTTCCCCTGCATCAAGGCTGGGCAAGTTAATTTAGCTTGAGATATAGGCGCCCAAAATACAAGTTCAAGCACCAGGGACAG